AAGGTTTTATGATACAAATTTGTGGTCATACTATCCAGCACCAAGACTGTGCATGGCTGTGTCTATGGAGAACCAGATTAAAACCAATACCAGGAGAAGCCTTTCATATTCACAGACGGCGCTCTGCTTCATTCCAGCCTGAGATTTCTGCTAGGCCACTAAGGGCTTTGTGCAACGCATCAGCCCACATGAGTTATGTGTTTGGGCCAATGGCAAGACATTAAATTACTCATTTGGGTCTGCAACAGGAGCAGCATACTATCCTTACATAGAGGTCTTCACGAGGAAACAAATAACATCAACAATGTTTTCACAAACATGTACAGACCTGGTGCAACATCCTTCAGGCTTTTGTGCCCACATCAACCCACCAAAAACCTATTTATTCACAAATCAATGAAAATGTGCACTTGGGAGCCTCTGCCCAGCTCATTACCAAAACAGACATGAGAGCCTCGTGGTTGTTACCCGGGAAACCATATGGCAGCAGGGTCCTGAGTCAGACCAGAGATGTGACCATTTGACATCACTGATCATTCTCCAAGGCTTCTCCAAGTCATAGGGTAATGTTGTTGAGGTAATACAAAGACACTGGTAGGCTAGAACAGTTGCATGTTTTTGTATGATCTGCCTGAACTAAATATTACCTCCACATTCCACCAAAGTATAATGACTTTGACAACATTTCAGATGTTTGAAATGTTTGAAATGTTATGAATGAGTGAGTTTGTGTTGCAGACAAGAACATCCCCCTGATGCAGCTCATGACTTTGTAAGAGATACATTGGAAGATATACTATGAACCCCAACCCTATTTTGCTAAAGCCAGCAGGCCTTAAGCAAAAGAAGTTGATAATGGTGATGGGTTAATGTTAAACTGTAGTCCAAGTGCTGACACTGGCCCTATAAGAAACACACACTGGTACACTCCACAGAGGTCTCAGCAGCAGTATCACAGCATATCAGCTTTCATTACAACTCGTTTGAATGAGATGATCTTTTATGTTGAGATGCTTTTGACAAGCTGAGTCAGTGGATATGACCCTGCATGCTTGTATGCCATGAGCTGAGACAGATAGACAGGGAATTTAGAACTCAATTGAGTTTTAGTTTTATCATAACAAAAAACATATAATCGTACCGATACAATTAGATTGTATCAAATAAGCAAATGATCATCACGTTTCATATCAAGTCAGGTAATAGACCGTTAAAGAAAATAAGTGAAGTTCATCATATGGCCTTGCGTCCTCTCAGCATTCCAGTCAAGGGTTTATCCAAGTTTCAGCCAGGCAAGCTCTAAGTACTGGGCCTCCCTGTGACAGTCTGAGTCCTACTGCTACGAGGATTAACAAGACTACAAATCTGAAGCCCTGCGAGTGGCCTGCGAGACGCTGCAGTGTTCATTACAACCCACGAAACACTAAAGAAATATTAACTTAGAGCTTTGTCACTGCCGGGACTACGATGTTAACTTTCTCCTTATGATGGTGCTACAGGAAATACCATGGGATCATTAAAATCAAAAGTTTTCCCCATTGGGAGCATCAGTGTGCACAGCTAATTATATTTATAAGGGTTTTTTTGTGCACATAGTGTATAATTTGGCCTGAAGGTATAACAAGACGTAATGTCCAAAATGCATAATGTCATGGCAGTCCCCCTGTTACAGTTAGATCTTGTATTATTGTGCAAAGGGAAGTTTAAGCTTGTTGCTTCAGTGCTAGATAAAATGTCAGAGGGTCACTAAAGCATTACCATGGACATTAAGAAAGAGTAGTCACTGTCACCCTATTTTGCTTATAAGAGATACACTCTTATACATTTAGAAATGTAATCTTCACTGTTGTCTTGATAATATCTGTGCCTCCTCCATGTAGCTCCTACACTCAAAGTCAAATAGGATCAGAAATCCCATCCTGCACCAGTGTGATTACCATGAGGAGAGTAAATTACTGGTGAAACAACCACCACACAAGTGCAGGATCTCATGAGTAGAGAAATCCATACTGCAGATTTGTTACATAAAAGGACATATTTCTAGTAATGATGTATACACTGTGCACAACATTCATAGCAAGTGATCATGGTAAGTGCTGGTAGATCGTTAAGTAAATTATAGGGGGGGGGGCTTTCAAAGAAAAACACGGCACAGAAAGCAAAAATTGTGATGTTTTATTTTCAGATTTACTGTAGGTAATTTGCCTTATTATGATCAATTATCTGGAGGTCACAGTTCAGCACAACATCCCCGTTTGTATTCACTATAGTGTGTCTAGAGGGAAGGGGGTTATCATCACCAATACTAATACTGCTTCTCTCCATTTGAACTAAAATTAGGAAATGACCCCATGTCTACTTCCCTGTGCGTTACCCAGGGACAGCCATGCTGGCCATGAAATGGGGCTTTAAAAAGCAGAGCTGACCAGGATTAGCATCCAATTTTAACACCTGACTGTAATCCTGCCCTCCCACTGTCCATGCTAAGCCTGTGCTAGCCATGCTAATGGACGGCAAGCGGTTTGCAGACGGTCTATTTTTTTCTTCTGAACTGTTACCCAACAACTTGGCTCGTGACAAACGCAGTGAATGACAGGACAGCACACTTGCAGTGGAGGGGGGGAGCAGCAGATCAGCTCTTCATTTCTTACTGTTGAAGTGAAGTTGAAGAATTCTTGACACTGAAAAAAATACTTATTGCTGGATCAATATGTTCTGTGACAGTACCGTTATAGTTATATAAAACTAATAAAACCACACTGTACCTAGATTACCAATCAACACATTGTTAGACCAGACCCCTATCAGTATTACTGATCAACTCTGTACAGCTAAGCTTTGCCATCAAGACAAATACTGAGTCATAAACCAAATACCAAAGGTAAAACACTGAATCCCTTTGGGTTAATCATTAACTACTGACTATAGTGTTATCTGATATGATCACCCTGTGAGATCCTTTATTCACATTTATCTATGGTGCATCTGTACCTGCAGAGTCACCATGAGCATATTAGACATTATTGTGCATACGGTGGCTCCTTACTACAAATACAGCTTGGCAGAAAGGGTGCAGCCTGTCAGTTATCTTCGAAATTATAACCTACTGAGCAGTTTATAGTTTGTACAATGACGTGTTTGTGACGAACAGTGATGCTGTTATGGTTGCGGTCACTACAACCTGTTACAGACCGTCAGGCAGACTGTTGCCTTCTTCATCATATACTGTACATACTAGTACATATAGTGTATCAGCCCCTTCAACTGATCAAAATGTAATTCATTCAATTTAAATACAGATCTCTGACTTCACATAGCAGGTCAGTGATCACAGACCTTTATTTAGCATGCTTGGGCAGTTAACAATGGGAACAGACATGAAGAATGCTTCAAGTCATTGTCTCCAACCAATAAGAAAATAATAATGAGACCTGTGAGATGGTCTACACTCCTCCACTAGCTGGCATGGTAGTAATGATATCATTACAGCCAATACTGTAAAACTTGGAGATGTTGTCCAAAAAACACAAGATCACATCACCCTCCATGACATCTTTACAGAAACATTCACATTGCTTCAGGCCAGTAGGCTCAGCATTTGAAATAAACAAAAATGGATTAGTAATCTGAATTGTACATTATACTGTTAGAAACGTACAATCTGAGAGCCGTCACCTCATAATCAATATATAGGTTCCAGCCTGCCCTTCAAATCCACTCCTACCTTGATGACATGGTACTATGTTACTATGATACAACATTCTCTGGTGTGAGATCGCTAACAGCCTACAACACATGACTGGGCAGCAGTAACATCATTCCTTTCCAAAAAACACCGATAGAAAGACACACACACATACACAAACACAACCAAATGAGATTGAGCTAATGTGATTCTTCCTCAGCAGCAGACAGACACACTGGCATGGAGTTAATTTGCTAAATGCACCGGAATAAAAATAAATGCTCGAGTGACATCGTGAAGCTGTTTTGGAGGATGGACAAAAACTATCCACTCTAAGGAAACGAACAAAACTGCAGAGGGTAAATATTGTAAGCAATAATGACCTACACATATTTCCCCATGTTTACTGCCTCAAAACGTTGCCTGTGTATCATCGCGGGCTATGGGAGCTTACATAATCCAAGGTTGATTTCGTAAGAGTCAACGTATTTAGGTTGTTCTGGTCAAACAAATGGCAAGTGGTCATTCACATAGGACGCCTGAACCACTTTAACAATAAGAAATAAGAGATATCGTGTGAAACAGACGGATGGATGGAGGCTTTCGTGTGCCAGCTGCAGAGCTGTAGGGATTCATCCCTCAATCACTGGCCTTCACCCCGGATGATGTCATCAATTAAAGGGACATGAAACTAAAACAATCATCAGTTCTCTTCTTCCTCACTACACTCAACCCGACAGAGGTGAATCAGTGCAGCTATGGGTGGGTGTGAATGTGTGTACGCAACCACCAGTACAGATGTACAATCCACATGCGAGTGCCGGGTAAAAATGGCAATGTAGTGTGAGCAGATACACAGCAGAGTCATACGGTGCCGTGAGTGTGTCAGTGCATGTGTTTCAGGGAACACCATACAAAGAGAATTTATACAAGTGAGCCAGCTGGGCACATAAGCCCTCCTGCACAATAAATCCAAATAATCCTTTACCATGGGAAGCGGGAAAAAGGGGGGTGGGGGGTACTTATACATACACACACACACACAAAAGGTACACACGGTTCAATTAGCCTCGCCATTGTGCCTCTGTGGTAGACATTCAGTGGATGTGCCCTTTTCCTAAGAATAACATGCAAGTCACCAGAATGTATGCACTCAAAATAGCAGGGCAGCTCATGACATTTGAACCTCTCAAAGACACACACGCTTGCCAGTGGATGAAGCGCTGTTGGACAAGGACATGAAGGGGGATTACCCTGAATAACAACAGAAAAGGGGACAGCATAAGAATAAAATAAAAAAATTAAATCATCTTAC